TCACCTAGGCTAGAGTGCAGTGGCAGCCTTGAACTGCTGGGCTCAAATGATCCTCCCACCTCAGCCTCCCCAGTAGTTGGGACCACCAGCAAGTGCCACCATTCCCAGATAATTTTTTTTTGTGTGTTAAGAGTCTCACTCTGTTGCCCAGGCTGGAGTGCAATGGTACGCTCCCAGCCACCGCTGCCTCAACCTGCTGGGCTCTGGCGATCCTTCCGCCTCAGCCTTCCAAGTAGCCGGAACTACAGGGTCTCACTACCACACCCAGTTAATTTTTGATTTATTGTAGAGACAAGGTCTCGCCAAGTTGCCCGAGCAGGTCTTGAGCCCGCGGGTTCAGGCAATCCACTCTCCTCGGCCTCTCAAAGTGTTGGGATTACAAACTGAGCTACTGAGCCCAGCCTAATTTTTTGGTTGACACATAGTTTTAAAAACCACTGGTTGGCTGGGTGTGGTGGCTCACATCTGTAATCCCAGCACTTTGGAAGACCGAGGTGAAAGGATTACCTAAATCCAGGGGTTCAAGACCAGTCTGGGTAACTTGGCAAGACCTCATCTTTACAATTAAAAAAAAAAATTAGTGGGTATGGTGGCACATGCCTGTAGTTCCAGCTACTTGGAAGGCTGAGGCAGAAGGATCATCTGAGCCCAGCAGGTCGATGCCATGGTGGCTTTGAGTGTGTCACTGCATTCCAGCCTGGGCAACAGAGTGAGATTCCGACTCAAAAACAAAAATCAAACCAAAAAACCCCACTAGTCTAATCTAACCATCCGTCACTCCTCCATTTTACAAAGGGCGTAACTAGGGCCAAGAGGTAGTGATGTGAGTAGGTCACAGAGAGATCAGAGCTTGAGAGTTAAAGGAAAGGAAGCGGACATTCCCTTTGAACCTAATGAGCTGGTGAGGTTGTTCTCATTTTGTAGAATGGAAGAAAATTCCATTTAGAAATTCTATTTAAGCCGGGCTCGGTGGCTCAGCCTGTAATCCCGCGCCTTGGGAGGCTGAGGTGAGTGAACTGCCTGAGCCCGCGGGTCCGAGACCCGCCTGGGCAACTTGGCGAGACCTCATCTCTACAATAAATCAAAAAATCAGCCGGGCGTGGTAGTGCGCGCCTGTAGTTCCAGCTACTTGGAAGGCTGAGGCGGAAGGATCGCCGGAGCCCAGCAGGTCGAGGCTGCGGTGGCCGGGAGCGGCCACTGTACTCCAGTCTGGGTGACAGAGTGAGACTCCAACTGAAAAAAAAAAAAAGAAATTCTAGTTAAGTCATTTGCCCAAAGCCCTAAAGTCAGCAAATGGCCAGCAGGAATCAAACCCAAGTCCCTTGACATGTAAAACCAGGTTGTTTCCAGTAGACCACCTGCACCTACCCCCATAGCTCCTGCTGCTGTCAACTGCTCCTCCCTTATACAGAAATACCTTCGCCACCATCTTGTTTGACCTTGCTTCTCTACAGACTCACTTCAGAACCATCCTGCCAGATCTACACTCATAGTCTTGTCTGCTTTGGGTCCCCAAGCCCCCAAACTTCTATCCTGACCTCTTTCCCCACACAAACGTAAAATCACACACCCACGTCAAAAGAATCATTTCTCAGAGATGAGACGTGAATTGGTTCCAAGCTGGCTGACAGGCTGGGGGCCTGGGACTCCTGGTATTTTTAACTCTCAATGCTCAAATGGTAGTTCTAAACAGCAGCAGCAGCATCCCGGTGAAACGTATGTACTCTAAACCTACTAGATTAGAATTTACTTTTTGAGAAGATTCCCAGGTGATCTGTTTGCACATCAACATCTGTGAGGGACTAAGTTAGCCCTGAATCCCAGGGGAAGCAGGCTTATGCCCGCTGCTGTGTAACTGACCCTCTGCAGCTCTTGGCTCCGTTGTTAGTGGCAGCTGTGAATTGGTTGATGATGTTGTAAGGAGAACTTGGATATTAAGTTGCAACCAAGGCCTGGGAGATTACTGCAACAAAGGAAGCCTTGGTTGTAATATTGCTGCCAGCATCTGCATGGTGGACTGAATGAGAGGCCCAAGAGAGTTGTTGTAACAAGAAATTAGAAGCCTATCACCACCTCCAAACTGGCTATTATGATGCAACAAGGTAGAGAAATAGACAGAACTCTTAGTTTTAACTAAATTGGGGGTACTAACTTGGAATTTTTTTTTTAGTAGAAGTCTCACTCTGTTACCCAGGCTGGAGTGCAGTGGCACATACACAGCCACTACAGTCTCAACCTGCTGGGCTCAGGTGATCCTTCCGCCTCAGCCTGCCAAGTAGCTGGAACCACAGGCGCACGCTGCCATGCCCAGCTAAGTTTTTTGGTTGTTTTTTTTTTTTTTTTTTTTATAGAGACAAGTCTTGCCAAGTTGCCCAGACTGGTTCTCAAACCCCTAGACTCAGACAATCCTCTTGCCGTGGACTCCCAGAATGCTGGGATTACAGGCGTGAGCCATTGCGCTATTTTTTTTTTTTTTTTTTTCGTTTTTTGAATCGGAGTCTCGCTCTGTCACCCAGGCTGGAGTGCTGTGGCAAGCTCACAACCACTGCAGTCTCAACCTGCTGAGCTCAGGTGATCCTTCCACCTCAGCCTTCCAAGTAGCTGGAATTACAGGTGTGCATCGCCACACCTGGCTAATTTTTCTCGATTTATTGTAGAGACGAGGTCTCACCAAGTTTCCAGACTGGTCTCGAACCCCTGGGCTCAGGCAATCCTCTTGTCTTGGCCTCCCAAAGTGCTGAGATTACAGTCGTGAGCTACCACATCTGGCAGAAAATAGTTTTAAAACACGTTTGTTGCCTGGACACTGAAAAGAAGCTTCCTGTGATAACAGACTTACTCTTGAAACATTATTAAGAAGCTGTGACAAGATTCTTGCCCAGGCCGGGCATGGTGGCTCACACCTGTAATCCCAGCACTTTGGGAGGATGAGGTGAGAGGACTGCCTGAACCCACGGGTTCGAGACCAGCCTGGGCAACTTGGCGAAACCTACAATAAATCAAAAAATTAGCCAGGCATGGTGGCACATGCCTGTAGTTCCAGTTACTTGGAAGGCTGAGGCAGAAGGATCACCTGAGCCCAGCATAGCAGGTCAAGGCTGTGGTGGCTGGGAACGTGCCACTGCACTCCAGCCTGGGCGACAGAGTGAGACTCTGACTCAAAAAAAAAAAAAAAGATTCTCGAACAATGACAGTAAGTACAAAGAAAAGATTAGCCTGATAAAGTCTGGACTGTCACGCCGACTGCATTTCAAACTGGAATGCATCCTAGAGTAAACACCAACTGGAATCTAGCTGCTCTGTTGCAACAAGTTTGAATTTGCTATGGAAAAAAAATTGACAAGGTTGTGACTGAGGGCCTGCATGCTCTTATTGCAATAGGTCCTTGCAGAATGCCCCAGCACAGCAGCGGCCTGCTGTGCCTGTGGACAAGGCCAGAGGGACTCTAACCACAAGGGCGAACTCTGCCAACAAGCCACGGTGTTATCAAGGCAAGATTCATAAAAGTAAATAAATAAATAAATAAAATAAAGGCAAGACTCATGAAATGCATTGCCATGGACATAAGGATAGCCAACAGTGATGCAGAATTCTGGGAATAACTGCAGGCATTCCCTAATAATAAGCAGCCATTCCTGCCTCCGATGTCAGCAGGGCAGTCATGTTATCCCATCTGACAGTTGAGAAAACTGAGGCTCAGAGAAGTTCAGGGACATCCAAGTTCTCAGGATGGGGAAACAGCAGAGCAGGATGTGGACCTGGGCCTCTGGCTACATTCTGCACTTTCTTGCAGGGAGACTACATACATTTTGAAATAGGATTAGAAAAAATGTGGAAAGAAAACTAGGCATATTTTACCTACTCAAACCTGGCACATTTTGTAGTGAATTTTTAAGAATCTGGATATGCTGTAACATAAAATCAAAATGCTTTTTTTTTCTTTTTTGGTTGGATCTTACTCTGTCACCCAGGCTAGGGCACAGTGGCTTAATCACGTCTCACACAGTCTCAGCCTCCTGAGTAGCTGGGACTACAGGTATGTGCTACCACACTCGAATTTTTTTTTTTTGGTAGAGACAAGGTCTCCCTACGTTGCCCTGGCTGATCTTGAGTTCCTGGGCTCAAGCAATCCTCCCCATTCGGCCTCCCAACGTGCTGGGATTACAAGCATTAACCACCGTGGCTGGCCACAAATGTCTTATTTCTAAGAGAGCACAGATGTCTAGAATTTGGGCAAATACAGTGACAACCAATCAAAGATGGAGTCATAGGAAGACTTTCTTTAACTTAATGGGAAGAGATCTGAGTTCAAGTTTTGGCTCTATCACTTTTTTTTTTTTTTTGAGTTGGAGTCACACTCTGTGGCCCAAGCTGGAGTGCAGTGGCAAGTTCACGGCCACCCCAGCATCGACCTGCAGGGCTCCGGCGATCCTTTCACCTCAGCTTTCCAAGTAGCCAGAACTACAGACGTGTGCTAGTACGCTCGGCTAATGCCAGGTCTCAAGGGATCCTCCCATCTTGGCCTCCCAAATTGCTAGGATTACAGGCGTGAGCCACTGTATCTGTCCTCTATCGCTTCCCAGCATATAGTTTAAGCCAAAATGTAGTTTTTCCTAATTTGGCAAACTCTTATCCTTTAAGGCCCAGTTCAAAATCACCACCTTTGTGAAGCCTTCCCAGATCTCCACCCCACCACCACTCCCCAAGAGAGGTAGTCCCTGGCTCCTCGGTCCTTATAATTTACTGAAGGGCTTAGATTTTTCGGCATTCTATTACTTTCCCACTAGAACAGGGTTCATCTTTGCGGGGTTAGCTAGCCATTTAGCCCAGGTCTCTTTTGCTAGGCAGGAGAGAACCGAGATCTAATGCACCTGGAACGTGGCCACTTTGTACCACAACACCTCGGCCACCTCCCGGCTTCCAAACTCCAGCCTTTCGTCGCCAGCTAAGGCCAACGCAGAGCTCAAATCCCCGACGTTTCCGGGGCCACCCTACAGATGGTAAGCACGTCGAGGTCCAGGGAAGGCCCAGTGCGTGCAGCGGTGCGGTGCCCACGCCTCTCGCCCCGGGCGCCTCGCACGCTGCCAAGACCGCAGGTGCCCAGTAAATATTCGTGGGTTGGAATGGCGCAGAGGGCAGGGAGACTCTGCGTGTCGACGTCCACACTTGACTGGGCCAGGGCCGCGGTTGTGGGCGCCCCGCGGAGCCGGGGGAGGGGCGGGAGCCGCTCCGTCCAGCCGGGCGCCAGCTCCTCCCGGGCGGGCACCCACCGACAGCGGACACACAAAGCCTGCTCGGCGTGCTCGGCAATCGGCTCCTCACGCCTGTGTCGCCACGCGCCGCCAGGCGGCTCCAGGTTGGGCGTCGGGCTGCGGCAGGCACTGGGCGTCAAGAAGCTGCACACATCAAACCGCCGCGGGAGGGAGCGCGAAAGGGGGAGGAGGGGGAGGA